CATTATTATTATTATTATTGTTGTTGTTGTTATTATTATTATTATTTTCCCCTCCTTTTCTGTCCTGTTAAACTGTCTTTATCTCAACCCACGAATTTTACTCTTTTTTCCCGACTCTCTCCCCCATCCCACTGCGGGGCGGGGAGTGAGCGACCGGCTGCGTGGTGTTTAGCTGCCTGCCGGGTTAAACCACAGCAGGTATCAACAGGTCGGTCTCAGCATTTTACTAAGTGCCAAAAAAAAGAAGAAAAGGTTGACACGGCAGTGGCGTGCTGTGGCTGGCCTGGGCGGTGCTTGCCCACTGTTGGCTAGGCAAAGCTCTCCTGGGGGATTCCCCTGGCAGACAAGTTTGTTTCTTGCAGACGAAAGCAGTGCAACAGAGTCCCGTGTGATCCTTCACCCAATCTAGGCAAAGATCTTTGAAAGCTTCGAAAGACATGGATATTGCAAAAGAAAGGCAGATTTGGGATGTGTGGCCCCTTATGCTATTAGTAATCGATATGTGAGTAGATCTATTGAGTTCAGGGGAACTACAGACATCCACACCATGGGCCCGGAGCAGTAAATATTGGAAGATCAGCCTCGGAGCCTGCAGAATCACTGAGATTAGAAAAACAAACCAATGGAGCGCTATCATCTAACCTTTGGTCTCATTACGCTTAGGCAATCCTCCGAGTGCGGGGGGCAGTCTATTTTAAAAGCGGGAAGGTGAGCACTACTGGGTAAACCCAAGGAATCAGCTGGAGTAAAGCAGAGTAATGCCAGTGGATCTGCCCTGCGTGTAGCAGAGTTCCCAGCTGATTACATGGAACTAACAAACAATTGAGATGGCTGTAATTAATGCAGTGGGATAACTGGAGCTTCATAGCTGCTCTGCCACAACAGGTCACACCAATCCAGAAACATGATAACCTTTGTTGCTTACCTGTGAATAGCTGGTACTTCGCTGCTTCGCTTATCATCCGTGGAAGAAACGGCATTTACGGTAGAAAACCCAGGACTGCATTGCCCCATCGGTGTAAAATAACGCAAGGTACCTGCCAGGTAGTGAAAGCAGCCTGAGCCGTCCTCGTATCCAGGAGAGAAGAGTACGAAGGTGACGGGCTTCTCTGAAGTTCACATCTTCATCCAGTCTGTCCCTGCTTCGGTAGCCAAAGTCTTATCTGCAGGTTCTTGCTGTCCAACACGGGGAGTAAATACAAAGCTGTGTCGTTCACGAGTGTAGCTGCTTCATGTTAATACCCGAGATTCACTTTCAGTTCAAATTCCTAATGCTCCTTTGCTCTCCTTCTGTTTACAGAGAGCTTGGGACTACATTCTGAAATGCAAAACGAACATGAGACCACACCGGGGCTTTGTGAAACAGCTCTCAGACTGGGAGACCCAAATCTACGGGACCACGATCACAGACGTCTCTGAACCAAATTACTGACAGGTAGCAAAGAGAACACCCAGCGGGGAAAGGCGCTTCCCTGTCCGTACCACCGTGTCTGTAGAAAGTTACTTGAACCCTGTTTGAGAAAAAAGATCTTAACGTGATGGAAAGGCTTTCCTCTTTAGCTCTGTATTATTTGGGGTCAAGTTTTGGAGCCGATAGGGGAACTCACCTGTGCTGTAGAAGGTGGCAGTTTGGGGAAAGCAAGTCCTGCAGGGTGTGGCCCACTACGCACCGCCCGTCTCTTTTGTAAGCGAAGGGGATTGTAACCACGTTATCAGGCACGCTCGTTACCTCAGGTACGGGGAAGCCATTAGGGTTATCTCTGAAAAGGTTCGCCCCATCCGTAGCCTGGGATGGTAAATTTAGCGTTTGATTGCACCCGCATCCAGCCCGGAGAGGTGACGACAGAAATTTCCCCATTTCAGAAGTTCCTCCGCTCTGCGTGTGCCTCCTCAGCTGCCCGCGGGCGCGGACACGGCCTCCGGCAGACGCGCTGGTTGGATTGTCTAGCAAGACCACGCTTCCCCCTTGCCACCTTGTAAGACAACGGCCTAACCGCTTGGCACGGCCCGGAGCTTCGGAGCATCGATCCCGTTACGCGAAACCCAAGCTCGGTGCCGTCCCCTCTCTTGTAATTCTTCGCGTTGACGTCACAAAATAAAACCTTACGGAAAACGCTCCTGGGCTTTCCCTGCTCTCTGCGCTAAGGATTCACCGGGGGGGGTTTCATTTTGGACAATCCCCCTGGGT